GTCTAAATAAGAGTTAAGATAGAGCCGGATAGTCTTCTTGCCCTAGTGTCAACATGAGACATACAAAAAAATGAGACCCAGTTCTTATGATGTCCATCATATGATGTTCGAAAGCTCTGCCCGTTTTCAGCAGAAACAGGAGAGGAGGTCTCGTGGACTGCGTCAACCTGAACGTCGTATAAAAGCCAAAGGGTTCAGTACAACGGGATTCATCTGTTCTCCTTCGATGGCCTACGAATCTCTTCATGTACTTTTAATCGAAATTAAATTCCCCCCAACAATGGTTATAATTCAACCAGATCGCTTAAAATATTTTGCTAAACTGAATTGAGAGCCCCGAGAATTTAGTATTTTTAATAAAGCAAAATTATAAACGTTGACGAGATTGAACTTGATAGGAGACTAAATATTCTAGGGGACAATATATAGAACATTATATGGTATGATCTCGTGATCTGTTACATTATACTACTTTTTAATGTATTGTTATTGTATGAATACTAAAGAGAGCTAGCTATTTTTGTTTTATTCTGCAGGAACTGGCTGATTGGTGGTCCAGTCTCGATCCTTTCTTCGAAAGGTTCTATTGGAAAATCTGGAATTTCTACGTATTCTCCATCAACAAGCTGCTTCCGTCTTCTAATACAATTGGCTCATCTGGACCAGCTTATCTGTACACTGGACTACATCGAAACGGTTTGGCCTAGCGGAGGAAGCAGTTATCGCGATGAGAATGCAATTTGGTTCCTTAGTTTGCTTCTAGGCACGATTTCTCTGGGCACTGATTTACTCGAGCCTGCTTGCAATGGTACGCTTACACATAATGCCACTATTGGTCTTGGCCTAAGTCCCCGTGATTCAGCCTTTGCTACTTGGCACGCATTAAATGATCCTAAGCATTCCTCATGCTTTTTGGTCGTTGAACCAGTTTGGCAGATGCGTCTCTATGTTGCATTTGGGTTGTTTCGCCTTTTTATTCGCCAACTCGCCCTTTTTTCGACACACGAATCTGATCAAGATGGTCTCCTGAACATCTCTAATCTTCGTCAAATGCAAGTAAGAATACCATATTCATTTTATTCACAGTTTTAAGCAAGACATATATTTAATTATTTTCTATGCGAACGAATGGGACAACCAAAATTGAACTGGGTGTCAAGGCTTTCATCCCATATGGATATACATGATGTAGATATATGTAGGTTAATCTCACCAGAAGACATTGGCTGATTCGCGTTGTACTCCAGCCGTTTGATGTTAATACGACGTTCAGGTTGAGGCAGTTCACAAGACATCCTCCAACGTTTCGGTCGAAGACGGGCTGAGCTTTCGTTCGTCATGTGACGAACATCGTCGGAGCTGGGACACATTTCTGTAAAAGCTTCAAGTTAAGAAGACATCATATAAGCCAATCATTTTTTTTTCATTTGACTTTTACAGGAATGAGTCCTAGCTCTGATGATGTTAGTCACATGAAGAGCAAAAGCTCAACTCGTCTACGCCCGAAATGTTGGAGGTTATCTCGTGGACTGCACCAACCTGAACGTCGTATTAATGCCAAACTGTTGCGGTACAACGCGAATCAACCAATGTCTTATGGTGAGATTTACCTAAGACTCTTTTCATCATGTACTCCTATACGAATTGAAAGTCTTCACACCAATGTTATCTCCAGAGATTCTTCGAAACATGCATTTTCTTTGTATATACAAACTTAAACTGGAGTAAATAATAGTTGTCTGATCTTGTTTTCGCAACATGGTCATATTGGTAGGAAGACTTAGAGGAACGCACCTAGTCCAGAGTCCATTGTCGGCATGATCATTTCCGAATTTGAACCGTGGATATGGTACATTCCCAAACGTTTCGCCGGCATCGTTAGTGATTATAACCATTCTTAGCACCATACAACAACTCGTCAAAGAGACAAGTGAAGCCGATCCTTTGACTAAACGTGTGCTAAACAATTGTGTGGGTTATTTAAGTTTCCGGTAGCATCCTAACCCAGGGAAGAAGGGGAGATACCACAATTGTTTAGCTCACGTTTAGTCAAAGGATCGTCTTCACTTTTCGCTGACGAGTTTTTGTATGGTGCTAAGAATGGCGATACTCACTGACGATGCCGGCGAGACGTTTGGGAATGTACCCCGCCCACGGTTCAACTTTGGAAATGATCATGCCGACAATGGACTCAGGACTAGGTGCGTTCCTCTAAGTCTTCCTACCAATATGACGATGTTGCAAAAACAAGGTCAAACAACTTCTATACAATATAAGGAGACAAACACACGCACACACCCGAGCAAAAGTAGTAGGGTCAGTATGAAAGATAATTAACCAAACCACTCTATATCTATCTAGGTGTTTTTTATTTTGCTTGATTGACTCTATATAAGAGGCAAGATAGAGCCGAACAGTCTGCTTGCCCTATTGTTAAAGTTATACCTTCGAAGTAATGAGACCCAGCTCTGATGAAGTCTGTCATATGATTACGAAAGCTCTGCCAGTTTTCAGCCGAAACGAGGGAGTAGGTCTCGTGGACTGCGTCAACCTGAACGTCGTATAAAAGCCAAACGGCTCAGTACAACGGAGTCCATCCGTCCTCTTCTTGTGAGATCTACATACAAATCTCTTCTTCATGCACTTTCATACGAAATCAAAGTCCCCCAATGTTGGATTTATTTTTACCATGTTGATACCAACATGATAGGTATTAACATCAATTATTATTTTTTTATTAGCTCACTCGGATTATAATAGGCGCAGGCGTCACGACTATTTTGGTATTCATGCCAAAGATAAAGGATTAGTCAAATTGGAGAAAATAATAAAACATTAAGCCCCATGTCTCGCTGGCAGCCTGACGATGTTTAGTGGGATTTCTGGTAGTATATAAAAGAATTTCAAAAATATTAATGTAAAGCTTTATTAAATTTTAAAATAAAACCACTGTGTACATTTGAGAGAAGTTTATCAAAAAGTCAAGTGCACCACGTACATATGAAGGCCAAGTTGTTGAGGCCTCTATTTTGGTCACAGTCCTATTTCGATGTATAGAAGTTATCTGACCATTTTTTCGTGACTTGGTCGTGTTATCAGAACGACCTAGTTGGACGCACCTTGTCCTAGGTCCTCTTATATATTAG